CATGGTTTTTCCCTATCTCGCTCTATGATTTTTGCCCGGTTGAGCCGCCATTTTGAATGCTCATGAGTGCCACGCTCGTGCGTTATAGAAAACATTAGAGTCAGCAATCTAGGTCTCCTATATCTATGATTTTACTACATCCCGGGCGTTCTTTGTCAGTGCCCGCGATCACAATTAGTATTATCAGCGGTATATGATGATAACATCGAGTGTTTCCTGAAATCACAATGTTTGAAAGAAAACATCTTAAAAGCCAAATATAAATTATATAATACTCGATGTGAATTTATAACTTGATTAAACTGTAACAGTTTGTCAGCATGTTAATCTATATTTCAAGATATCAGTTTGCTTCTAGTCAGTTTATTTGATCCAGACATATTGCCTTTTAATTTTTTTGACAAAACTGTTTATGTTTTAGCACTAATTTCACAGATCTTATATGAGCTAGTAACATTTATAGCAGCTCAAATAAAAAATAACCAAGTGACTGGACAGACGGGAGTTATTTCGTATTTGGTAAAGGCGCTGCGTACCGGAAGTGAAACGCAGTCGGGGTCGGGATCGATGCCGAAGACTTATTATCTGATTTAGCTCTTTTTCTCAATTTTTTGCAATTTTTTTCTTCCTTCCTTTTTTAACTCTTAAAAGTTAGGCCGGTCAGTGTTTGGGATCAGTATAAAATCTAAAGTGCTTTAAAAAAGTTTTAATCTTTTTTTATCTGGTTGAAAATGTTTGAATATTGAGTTGCGAACTCAACCGCTGGTAATTCTAATTGTGATCGCGGGCACTGACAAAGAACGCCCGGGATGTAGTAAAATCCATCTTCAATATTCGAAGAAGAAATACTCGAAAACTGCAGGTTTTGGGAAGTGCAAACAAGCGGATTTGAACTTTGTATAATTTATCCTAATTATTTATCTTGTTTCAAAGTAGTGCCCGAACCCGGGCAACGGAACTGAACGATATCGTGCCACAGAATACGGCCTAATCATGGAATTTTACACTTCTGGAGAAGTTGTGGCTCTGTTAGTGCCATTTCTTTCATTGTTTATATATCTTGCTTTTAAGCATTGCTCGCTTATAAAATCTTTCAATTCCTTAGGGCCTGTTTATACGATCCCGCCTAGATGGGACGGGACGTTTTCATCCCGCCAAGACAGGATACTCGCCTAGTGTTTATATGGACAAAATACATTGCCGGGATGAAACCATTCGGTGCTTGACGTCATTTTTGTTGCAATAAAGGCATTTACGCATGCCCAAAAGGGAAAAATTCATTCCGCCTAACCGGGATGAAGTGTTTATATGGGAATTTTTCATCCCGGCTAGGCGGGATGAAGTGTTTTCATATGGGAATTTTTCATCTCGCTTAGGCAGGATCCTGGCATCTGTTGCCGAAATCCAGTCTAGGCGGGATAAGTGGCGGGATCATATAAACACTCTTTAGCATTTGTATTACAAGCGGGATCTCGGTAAGCATCCCGTCCCGCCTGGCCGGGATCATATAAACAGGCCCCTAATCTCATCCCATGATACTGAATCACAGTTTGTAAGGCCCCATTTACATGAGACCAGGATGAAACCAACCTGGAATGAAAATTGAAATTGCATGTCAACATGTTTACATGAGACCAGTATGAAAGTCACAAAATTTTCAATTTATTCCCCTTGCCAGGCAATTTTCGTTTTTAGATGGCTTTTGTTAGCATGTGTTGTTCACTTGTTCCAATGTCAACATTCATTCCAGTCTGAATTCATGCTGGTCTGAAGTCAGTCGGCTTGGTCCAGCAGGCGGAATGACTTGAGACCTCATGTAAACATCTATTATATATAATATAATGACCAAAACGAAATGGTCCCGGTTAATTGACTTCGTTCCAGTCTCATGTGAACTAACTGGACCTAATAAAATCCTTCAAAAGTTGGCTAAATTTTTCCAAAACTTCAGTCAATATAGTTTTGTAGTACACCAACCCAAGATCTGTTACTAAATTATGGGTTGATTGTCTGAATAGATATAATTCCTCAAATCATAATTTTTGAAGTTAATTTGATAGATATTTTTAATTGCATGGATTATTGGGTCATATTTTTCTGCTATTTAGCCTTAATATTGTAGACTTTTTTCAGAAAAGGAAGTGCAAACAAGCGCATACAATAGCAATTCTTCTTCAACTAATGGGCAACAATTTCTAAATAGCAAGGAAGCTGAATGACTGTATGGGTATGGACTATGGATAGCTTTTCATGGGCTCTGCTCAGTTTGTATGTTGTAACTTATGTCGAGCCATTGCAAGTGAATTTAACAAAGCCAGCGAACAAAATTGACAAAAATATACACGATTTAGTTGCACATTTCAGCTTGGAGTTTGGTACTGTTTCAACTGTCAATTCGACCTCGAACTTTGAAAGGTTCAAAACCTATCTGTCTCATGTTTGCTCACTCTATAATTTTGTATACGCAAAGGTTTTCATCATAACTTAATAACAAATTATAATTTAGGTTTTGGAAATCATTGGTTTTTTATCAGGAAGCAGTGCGCGCTAACACTCTCGGACAACATTTCGACGGCCATTTTTAACCACCAAATTAAACAGAGTATATAAATAAAATAACACCCGAAATAAAGTTTCTTGTTACTTAAATCTTATCTTTAAGTTTCTTATAGTAGCTGAAAGTAACAAAAACATATAGATTTTACACAAGTAATATTTTATACAGCAATA